TCATTGAATCATACTCATGACACCCCCAGAAGGCCTAACAGTAACACTCTCAACACTGAAGAGGCCTTTTGTGATTTACACTGGAAACATTAACTTCAGAAACAGTTACCGGACTTGTATTCTTCAGCCACTACAGAAAAAAACTGAACGAATACACATGCTAGGTATTTGCTCTTTTATGACATATATCATCCAGCGCAGAGAGTCCTGCTCCTCTGAGCCCTATAATGAGACTGTTGACATTACCCTGGAAAATGACCGCCTGGAGATGACAATAGAGCTAAGCACGGTAACTATGGAAAGTGAAAGGACACAGTGCACGTGTCAAACAGCCATGGTAAATGCATAGGGAACCAGGAACCGGTGATGAAAGCACCGTCATTGTTTCCACCAAATCCAGGTTCTCACACTTTTACTGGTCCATGTGTCTGGGTGTGGTGCCATCCAGCTGCTGGAGCTTTCTTTGTGACCAAATGTGCACCGACCGTGCAGTTAGTTGCCCTGGTGACAGTTCATATGGGATGGTGAGGGAGGTGGGTCCAATAAACACATCCAAGTAACATATGAACGAAATTCTCGGCATTGCTTCAAAAATATTTTTTTCACACTTTCGTCAGTCTTTTTCATGTTCACTGTTAAAATATCTCACATCTGTCCCATTTCTCTAGCAAAAGTAAGCGGTTCACCATGGAATAAAAGTGGTCAACCAAAAAAATGCTAATTGTTGTATGGCATTTTGGTATAAATAGTCACTGAAACACTGTCAGATCTAATTTACAAAGAGAAGAAGTATGCATATGTCTGAAAGCAAGTCTCAGACAATATAATTTTCCTGAGTTTTAAGGGAAAAACCTCAATTTGTATTTCATAATTGGGGCATTGCAGCAGTCTATTCTAAATCTGCTTTACTCAGCTCTCAGCAACTTAAAAAAAAATGCCAGACCTCTCGTCCTATCATACCTTATAATTTTATGCATCAGTGTATTTCCCCACACTGTGTGGACGGTTCAGAGGCCTCCAGCGCATGTGTTTCCTGGAGAGGAAGATTACTCCGAAAGTTGGCAGGGGGTGGTTGACAGATATTTGAGACATCAGATGGAGTCCAGTTTCACATGTTCTGATATTTGTTGTATCTTTTAGTTGTATCAAAATATAGTAGAATCTGCTAGAAGTGGACGACATGGATAATATTTTCTACCATGGTTTATGTGTTTCTCTACCGCACTATCATGTCAAATTAAACTCAAATGTCTAAGTCAAGTCTCAGGTCTTTCAGAGAAGGTCTCAAGTAAGAGTAATTTGAGAAGAGTCAAGTCTTCTTTCCTTTCATTTGTCATTTGTCTGTCAGAGCAAGTATGAAGTGTTTCAAGTTGATGACATAGTGATGGCAAGTGACACATCATTTTTCTTTTAACAGTGGTTATAGTGTTTTACATCGTTAAGACCATGTTTTTTTAATCTGTAGATCTAATCAAATATTTGTTTCAAGACATTTATTTTAATTATCGACCGTAAAACTTAAATTAATAGCAGAGTCCCAAATAGCCTCCTTTACTATCCTGGTTTGGGAACACATTTTGACAAATAAACGCCTGCCTTAATTAAACGCCTGGTCTGGTTTTTATAGAAGTTCTTTGGATGTATACCACTGTTAAGTTCATTTAACGGAAACAACAAAACCCAAAGTCTAATTCTTCTAGATTTACCGGTGTAACCTGCATGGCTACAAGAGAGGAAAAGGGGGGGAAAGTGCTGACACGTTAACTTTGAAGCGCTCGTTAAGCCCGAATGTGTCCTTTCCTTGATTATTTAATATATTCCTTTAGCCTTTAAGGGTCCACCCATCAAAAGAATCAAAACAGCTTTTCAGAAAAATTTATCCAAGTTGTGAATCCTGTCATGTGAAGTCCATCGCTCTCTGTCTGCTAACTTCTCTCATCCTGCACCATGTTGTTGTTTTTGTGAGGTTGCTGCCGTCAAAATAAAAGCGCATAAGCAGTCTGTCGGAGCTAGATCAAATAAATGACGTGTATTTGATATTTGATCATTTTTACATAAGTATTATTCTGTTTGAAATAAATAAACTGTTTTATAGTAGTTTCAGTTTTGTGCAAAAAGAATTAAAGGCCTGTCCCAAATAAAGGCAGGGTCAATTTAGTGATATTAGCAAATAAAAGCCTGGGCTATTATTCAAAGTTTTACGGTAATTGCATTTTTAATAATTGTCTTCAGAAATTTGGTCAACATTGTTTATCTTTATGTGTGGTCTACAAATATCAGGCTAGGAGTCCTAGGAGTAGGATCCTGGGTCTCTATGTGAAGATGTTGAGTCTTGGTGCGAGCATCCAGAGGCTGCCATGGAGATCGATTGTTTCCCTTGTTCAAAATAACTGTATTTGGGAATATGACAAATGGCCAAAGCAGAAAAACCCATGTTGCCTGGATACCAGCAGTAAAGTCAGTTGCTCTCATTACTGGCTGGAATACCTGGCCCTTTTCAGAGCTATTCAAAAACAGACCATTCTGCAAAAAATATGTATTTACATTTCCCAAAATTGCATGGTGGGGGTCTGTGGGTTTTGGAAAGGCCACATGGGTACGTTTTAATATTGCTTGCACTATATGTTTGCTTGTAATTTGTTGCAAGCATGCTTGATATGTTGCAGTCAGAAAATATTTTTATGGTTCAAATGTAAATGGTTATTTGCAAACAGGTTTTATGTGCCACTAGTGATTACTTCCGAAACGGATCCTGCAGAAAACATCTTGACACAGCCGAATAGCCAAAATATTGCAAAAATCACAGAGGTCTCACAATGTAAATGTAAACATTTTGGGATGTATTGTACATAGTGTGGGTCATTAATACTCTATACCTGCTGTTCATCATATATTGGCTCCAGTAAAGCATCACAGCAAGTGATGTATAACCTGCAGCATGCTGGCACCTCTCCATTACGCTATGGTCCCATATTTACAACTTGCTGCTGCAACTTCAGCCCACTCAACCCCCAACATAACATACCTCTTCCCAGATTTACACGGAGCCTCCTCCCCGAGGTCCAACTTTGTCCGTGGACCACAAACTGCTTCTTGGGAACAGCCGAGACCTGCTAAAGCAACCTTTAGTGCCTCAGAGTGTGACGTGTGGAGTTGTGTTACTAGTAACGTGAACAGCTAATGATGAGAACGACTGAAAATGGTCATTACTGCTCGGAGAGCACAGTGCCAGAAGAAGCAAAGGTTATTTACTTACCACTTGGTATAACAACATTTAAACCTGTTAGAGCAGTTGTGTTTCTGAGGCATTTGTTGCCTTTTTTCAGTTTGCATGTTAAAACACCTTGATGGGCTTTTTTATCAAAGAACTTTTGAAATTGAAATTGTCGGTAGGGATAAATGTTTCAAACATGTCGTGGAAGAATAATAATGTATAACTGTTTGCAAAGCAAGATTGCATAGAAATAGAAAACAACAATACCAATTTGGACAATACAAAGATGGCACTAAAGCTCAATTGGGCCTCATTTACTATTGATTTAGCTTCTTCTTTTTTTTTAACCAAATTAAACCAATTTTGTGACTTGTGTCTATGGTTTTCTCATTTCAGTGCCTTGCTGTTCTCAGGTGAAAGGTTGTGCCGAATCCAAACTTAACATTGGAACAATGCAGTATTCAACACTACCTTAATGAGATGTTTTTAACTCACAACCCACCTGGTATTTCACATCAACAAGGAGAGAGAAGATCTGCCAATTTTATGGCTAGCAAATGTCAAGCTGCTATGGATTGTTTTTCTTTTCTTCGACAAACGTGTTGCGTCCAGCAAACTGCCTGAGCACTCTTTAGTTGATGAATGATTTGACAGGTATAAACACTACCTAATTGCATAATATATCAAATGTTAATAAATCACAAATCCTCAAAATTCATGCACATGCTAAATGAATCAATTTAACCTGAATGTCCTAACATTTTTGTACCTTTGACTCTGTCACAAACTTGCACACCACTGCACTGCTGTATCAAAAATAACAGAAAATCTAAAAGCAGAGCAGGTTCCAATCGGATGCTGTATATTAATCGGTCATTTATTTTGGAATTCAACCCTTTCTTTGGTTTCAGTTGCTTATTAGCCACAGCTTTACTTTAATGCCTGGCTTGGCGAACTCCAACACAGCGCCCTCACAATCAAATTGGAAACAGACTTTTACCTTCTGTCTCTCAGAAAAGATACTTTACTCTGCAAGTTGCTTTCTTTTCTTTTCTTTTCTGCAAAGCAAAGTTCTTTTATAACCTGCTGTTTAATATTGATATGATAACAATGGCTGTGTAATGCGCTGCAATCCGTGAAGTTTTCTTTCCTCCATGAAACACGCTAAGTCGTGACCTCAATATGGTGCTCATGTGTTATTGTAAAGCCTCCTGCTGTGTGAGTCTATAAAGGAAAATGTTCCAGAAAAGCAGAATGCCAAATGGTCAAGTAGCACACACCACTACCACTGAGCAACAGTCTTTTCTACCTTAGGTATAAAACTGTACAGTCATGCAAAACATATGTATCATTACCAAGTTTCATATCATTTGTATCTTAAGAAGAGCATTTATATTCAAAACATTTCAATCCACTGTTATCCCATGTGCAAACATTTGGAGCTGAAACGGATTACAGACCAGGTGTCAACCACCAACTCTCATTTGAAATCCAAAAAAGTACTTGTCTTGCAAAGCTCAGCCACTTTGACTTACACTGCTACTTGCGACTGGGGAAATAGAACCATGTCCTATCTTGTCAACAACAAGCCAATCGCAGCCCAACCTAAAACAAAACTGGGTCTCAAATGTATTGCTCTAAAGCAACATGTCCCAGAAAAGTAAAAACAAACCAAATGGTTTGGCAGCACAACCAGTGCAAACGCTAGCTTTTGAAAGCACCTTAAAGCTTCAAAAAACGGCTTCACCTCAGTCACCTAATAATTACTGTTACTTTTTTTCTACAGCTACTACAATTGGAAGACACAGGTGTCCACGTCCAACTCAAGCCCTAACTTTGAAGTGATTTATGACGACCCGAACGGCCTTCTCTTTAAGAACAAGAGGGACAAAAAGATCCTAAATGTGGACCCCTTGGTAGGTTTTTTTTGCTGTTGTTGCTATGTTTTTAACCCCCAGGGAGACAAATGGTACTGCTAATTAGATCAGTTCACCTGTTCCACAGCAGTAAAAATGTCCCATGGAAGCAAAAAGGCTATAGGGCAAAAAAACTCTTTTCAAATCCTTTTTGCTGCTTCAGGGACTAAAAAACTAATTGTAACTGTCCTGCCAACTTTACTAAGTGCCTATTTTTTTTTAACTAGTCTGACTGAACCAAACATATCAGAGACAATCATTTTCAGAGGGAGCCTACACTATAAGAGAGGTACTTGGAGAGCCTGAGAGAGAATAAGAAATCAGTGGGAGAGAAAGATATTTGCTTTCCACCTGCACAAAGAATGGAGGATCAAGGGTCGAGACAGGTGCTTCCTCCGCACTCACAGTCCGACAGGGGCCTTGGAAGAATAACGACTGACAGACGGTGTTTTTTTCTCTCAAGTTCCCTCTTCGCTGGGGGGTAGGGAAGTAGTTGGTGGGGCTGAACTATTTTGAAATTGCAGACAGAGCTGTGGGGACTGCGTTTTTGAGGCCAAGCGCCAAAATGGCAGCACAGTGTTCTAGCTGTGGTCGAGCACCGCCCCGACCAGGCTGTCTATTAAAAACACAAGAGAAGGCATAGGAAGCCAGACACAGCAAACCACCCGTGTGCCCAGAACCCAGCTCAGCTCAGCCCAGATTGGCACGGCATAGAGAAGCCCGGAACCATCCGGCTTTTAACCCACCATGAGCTCACTAGCTGCTCACGTGGCCACAGATTCACAGTGGATCCTTGCACAATCTTCAGGCTCATATCAACTAATTTTGGGTGGTTTGTTTGTTGTTCTGCCTTTGTCATACCATGACCACTTTTCCTGTCCCAACCAAAAAGTGGGATGAGAGCTAACGGGTTGTCATATTTCAGTTATGATAATGGCTTTAATCAATCTAAGTAAGATATTTAAAAATAAAACAAAACAAAACTTGATTGATTGATATGAACGTTGATGACATATTTTGGTTTCTGTAAAAATATATGCTTATTTAGTTCACCCAACATTTCCTATTTTCTCTTCATGCGTCTATGAAGTCATTTTTTATTGGTCTATTTTTATTGACACTCTTTTGAACTTGCAAAGGAAGACTGCCTCACTTATTAGGACACCCACAAGTGTGTTTGAGGTAAAAGTGTAAATTGAGTGTAATGGTAGGCTATGGATCCACTCCCACTAGAAGCTTTTGACACACTTAGCCTTGAATAAATGTTCCCAGCTGGTAGTGGCTTCACATCTTAGTGGTAGGGCTGTGTCAGTTTTGAGATTCAAAGTAACATAAAACATCTTGGAAATTGAACAGTCAGATTATGATACACTTGACCTCCCCTTTAATATACCTGTTTTTAAAAAAAGATGTGTTTTGGATATGTGCGGTTTTGTTTCATTGCTAACATCCTTTTTTTTCGATGGCAGCTTTCACATTTTAATGATTCTTTGTAATGACAAAGGTGTTCGTAGTTCCAAACCCACTGAGAATCAACACCAACTATATGGAGCTTTTAGCTTATTTAGCTCATAGTTTTGCTTCTCCAGTTAAAAATACACTGTATGAATGGGTCTCGTGGCTCTCATTAAACCCCTGTATAAAACCATAGGCAGCTGTTTTCAGTAAACAAGATCACGCTACCTGCCCAGCACCAGCTAGTACTGTAGATAAACGCTGAATTTTGCTTTTCTGAAGATATAGTAAACGTCTCTACAAATCTATGTAGAGAAGCGTATTAGGCAAGTTCGAAATGGAGTAGAAAAAAAGCAACATTATACAAATTGTACATACAAATATAAAAGCAACAGACCTGTACACGTCTCCGGACCAGACCTACATGCCACCCAGGGAAGCATGTTTCATCCTTCAGTAGATTGTCAAGAGTGTTATTGCTTTGACTCTCTGCCCCCTAATGGTAAAAAAATGCTTAATGTCACTTTAAAAGCCCCACAAGTCAAGGTGTTTCAGATTGAAAGTGAAGCAAATTTTAAGAAAGTGCAAATGCATATAGTCAATGAAAAGGCACAAGTGGTGCTACGTCCACACAGGCTGAAATGTTATTTAAGAGGAAACATTAGAGAAACTGGAGAAAAATAACAGAAGGGACTTCAAGTGTGATAGTTTGGACTTCATTTAAGTCCAAACTGTCACACAAACACACTTTGGTGAACAATTGCACACAGCAAAAACACTGATTTATTTGAATGAAGCAACGTGGAAATTCACTTTGCATCTAGTCTAAATGCACCTTTAAATACTGTAGGTAACAGTGTTCAAACAAGAACTACTAACTTCTCTAACTGTGTTTGGTTCCAGTCTGGTCCTGGTGAGGACTCCAACAGGACGTTCCTACAATCGGACGTCTATATCCATGTGGTCATCTACGACCACAACATCAGGACAGTCTAAGTTTCAGAGGCTGCTACTGACACATTTATACATATGGCACATATTGGAGATCACTGGAAGCCTCTAATTTGACTGAGTTGCTGTAGTTGCACCATCATTTACAAACTGTTCCCCTCATATCATGCATGCCATCTGGGTGGAGGTGCTGCAGTGAAAAAATCTCTAAACTGAGGATTCCCAGAGGATGAAGTGGATGGACTTGTGTGACAACATGGACATTTCCTTGCAAATAACCTGAGAAAATATAACTTTTTGTGACATGATACAGCTCAGTTTGTTTGGCATTCCCCAAGCAGCAGTCTTATTTAGGGGCAGAAACCTGCTCAGGGACCCCGGGCCCTTGTCCCATCGTTTGGCACGGCATGTTTTAGGCTGTTTGTCTAAACAAATTAAAGGCGTAAGAGCTTTGAAAGATGATGGGGGTTGCTTTTATGTCTTTCCCCAGGCTGCGGTAGCTCCAATTGGACTGGAAGAATGGATAATGGGCTTAAAGCATTCCGCATGTTCCCAAATGCAAGGCACACTTTACAGGAGATCAAAGTGCTCTATCATTTACATATTAGTCATTCACTATGACATTTTTTAATGGAAGACAACTCTACAAATAACCTGCTGTAAGAATTATTTAGGAAGTTCCGAAGACTTTTAGCAACTTGCTCCCTTTTAATTTCTGTATTTAATTTTTTTTAGCATATGTTAATGAAACACATGGTAAGGATCAGTCCCACCACAAGAAACATTATCTATGTCTATAAGTTAACAAATTACAGGGTCTTTGTTATTTGTTCATTAATTTGTTGTCTATAGACTCTGCAGACACATAGTCATACTTTTTCCATTTAGTCAGAAAGATACATCCTGCCTGCAAATGTACAGTTGCAACCATGGAGTACAATATCCACTTTTATACATACTGTACATCAATGTTTGACTCAGCAATGCACTTTTCCCCCCATCCTTTTAATTGCTCCCCAAAGTGCTGTTGAATGAAAATGTAAAATATAGGTATTCAACGTGGATGTACTTTATATCAACAAGAATGTAGGTTTTTTGAGGACATAATAAAATCTCATTTGACTGGAAAAAGAATTGTCTTTAAAAGAATAATTTGACATTTTGTGACAAATTTGATTATTTGCTTTCTGAGAGTTAGATGAGAAGAGACCTCTCTCATGTCTCTATGGCAAATACGAAACTACAGCCAGCAGCTGGTTAGCTTAGCTTAGCTTAGCATAAGGACTGGAAACAGCGAAACAGCTAGACTCTCCAAAGGTAACAAAATCCGCCTATCGGCACCCCTGAAGCTCACTAATTATCAATGTTATACACAAAAAATGCTGTGTTTTACAGGGGTTTGTGCCAGACTATTTCTTGGCTGGGAGCAGAGAGAGTGAGAGAGTGGAGTATGTGTTTTTTACCTTTGGACAGAGCCAGGCTAGCTTTTTCCCCTTGCTTCCCGTGGAATACATTTTTTTCATCTAACTCTTGGCAAGAATGCAAATCTGCATTTCCCAACATGTTGAACTATTCCTATAAACTGACATAGTGGCCGTCATACTTAACATGCCCTTGTACTCATTTCCCCTGCATCCACTAGGCTGAAATGTACAAGGTTTAAACCAAGTAGGTGCTTTTACCATGTACATCCCATGTCGTCATCTACCCTGAGACCAGAGCAGACTTCCACTGCGTGCATCTGACTGACTGCTGGCCTCATTGAAACAATACGTGTGGTGACATGTTCTGGTTCTGTAAAAGCAGGGGTCTGGAGAGTGGAGTCGGGAGTTTTGGGTTTTCTTAGTCAGTGTATTCCTGTTGGTTGGTTGGTTGGTTGTTTGTTTGTTCATAAGAAGATGTTTCTGTTTTGGAATAATGATGAACAAAGTTTTTAAAAGTCTTAAGGAACAATGTGATTGACTGGGTTCTCTTTTAAGCTTTTCGTGTTATAATGACTTTTAAAGAACTGGTTTGTCTTTGTTGTTTCATTCATTGTTTCAACAAAACCAACTGGACTAACAAGGATGAGACACACATTCAAATTTGTCAGAAGGACTGTGTTGGGAATGTCATTCCCTTTTTAACCTCTTTCTAAAAGGCCAGATTTAACCTCGGGGTGAAGGCCTGTCGCAATCGACGAACCGTCTACCTGACTATCTCACTATCTGCCCTGCTTGGTTTTGTTTTTGTGTTGCAAGATCCTCAAACTGGCCGTGTGGCAAATTAACATTTCAACATCACCTACAGCTGTTTAGGATAACTGGCTGCAGCTCATGCATGTGTCCCTGAAAGTGGCATAAGCCCACCAATCAAAACAGCAGATGTGCACATGAATGAAAAATACACAATTTAATTTAGATACAAACAAGCATAACTCATGAAATTCACAGGCTACTTTCCATGTGCCTTAGACCAAACCTCACAAAAACAAGTTGCTAGAACTCACCCCGACAGATCATGTGTCTGTCAATGGTAATGATTTCACAATAAAGTCTCATTTAAATGGTTATATCCCTCTTCATTTCTTTTATTGGGCTTTTAAGCTGTTGGGGTTTTAACTGAAGTGTGGTTTTATTAGTTTGAGGCCTGACTTGTCCCTAATATACACAACATGAGGTAAAGCGTTGGATTCAGACTAAAGTGGGCCTTTGACAGTACAGGCACTATTTAGCCTTCTCTATGTAACAAGCTCCGTTTCAACTTAATTTGATGTCTCTTTGTGTAAGTTTGAGAAAACATTAAAATGTTGAGCAAATGAGCATTTTATGTTGCAGCTTTTGATGGCTGCAGCCCTTTAAGTTTCACACTAAATTTACATGACTTAGATTAATACATAGTATTAGCATATGGATGGATGACAATGGGCCACTGGAACAGGTGTAACCGGCACCTACTTGGATCTACCAATGAGGGCTGGTAACAGTTATGTGGTCAGACAACAACTCCAACAATAAAGTCCGAATCTCATGAAAACATGTGGCCTGGAATGTTAAACTGTAGGAATTCATCACTGTGCTTGACTGAATAAACAATCTCACTAAAGGTAAATTCAGTCAAAGTTCTTTTTTCAACAGAGGACTGCAGCAACAGTAAAACAAAAAAAAGGTGTAACAAGCTGGATTTAAATCATGCTACTATACATGGTCCTGCATATTTTATAGGATACAGTAGCAAGTAGGTATAAGTTAAACTAAATTAAATGTTCTTATTATAGTGTCCTGTGATTTAGTTAAGTGCATAGAACTGGAAAAGTTTATCATGTGATTTTAAAAACATGAACATCAGCCTGGAGGAAACAAATATGATTTATGAGTATGTTGATTAGCTCATTCAATGCAGTCTTTTCAGATGAGCTCCAATTAGTTCTTGATTTATTTCCCCTATTGGACGAACCAGATTTTCAGGCATGTGCATCTCAAAACGTTAAGCAGGTTATATGTTAACGGATAGGTTCACATTTTTTTCCATGTCTGTCTTAAAACAATGGTTAGGTGTGCAGGGTTAGGGTTAGTTTTTGCTTGCTGTGATAATTCTTCTTGTTTGCAATCCTTTCAAATTCATGGCACACTCAAGAGATTCATAAAGATACATTTACCAATTTACTTTTCTTTTTGATAAATTGCACCATATTTTTTGGCTTAAACGGACCATTTCAGTTCCCTTTCTTCAGTAATGCTTTTAACTTTTTACTGTTTTTCTTTTTTGAGTATTTCGGCAGCAGACATTTATCCAGCATTTTACATGTGTAACCCTAACCAGGCAGTGCAATGTAGCAATTTTAATCTGTATAGTCTTGTTATTAAGCCAATTAGAGATATTAGAAATGATCAGATATATTAAAATATAATAGCCTATTTTAAATCTAATTTACCTTTTTATCTCTTTTGTGTCTGTTTAATGGATTACTGGTCTGAAATCTACACTTATTGATTGATTCTTCTGAGTTGATCCAGTCAGGCCGCCAGCTGACTTCACTTTGCTGCTGCTTTGCTGTTGTTTAGATTGATTCTCTCCTGCCCATCTCCTCCCAGTTGAAGGGGTTAACCCGTTCAGTGTGCGGACTGCTATGAAGGACATGGCATGCTAATATTATTGCCATCAGATGTCTAAGGGCGGGGAAATGCCCTAATCATTTCCTCCCGAGTGCCCCTGAAAGAGAAGCCCAGTGGCGGGGGCTGGTGGGGCGGTGGGGAGGGGTGGGCACAGTACAGCATCCGGATCGGATCGTGATGGTACAGGATGTGTGTGCTTAACTCCATTGAACTAAACTAAATAGGGGAGAGAGCCTTTAATGCCGACAATAAGCCGCTTCATTCAGCAGCGCGGCCCAGACGCACAGCTCTGTGGAGTAGAAATTACGCACGGAGGGGCTGTTCTGTGGCAGCAGTTCAGATATTGAAATCAGTTCAATAAGTCGGCGGAATGTCCTTTTAATAAAACAATTTTTTTTTTAAATCCGTCTCGAATCAACTGACAAAACAGCCTCCCTCGGCTCATGATAACATGAGATAATTTGTCCCCAGGCTGAATGTGCGTAAAACTATCTCGAACAGGAAACTCTCTCTCTCTCTCTCTCTCTCTCGGTCTCTCTCTCTCTCTCTCTCTCGCTCGCTCTCTCTCTCTCTCCCTCGCTGAGTGCGTGTGTGTATGTGTGTGTGTGTGTGAGAGGAATACCCAGCTGGTCCCACTAGCCCTATAATACCAAGCACAACATGCTTTACCTTCAATGAAAGCTGAGACGGGGGGACGGTTGACTGCTGGTCCTGAAATCAGCTCAGAGCTCGGATACAAAACCAGGAGCGTCGATGTTTTAGCAGCTTAGTTCTCTTGCATCTGCCACATTACACCTTCTGCTGTGCGCCGGAACTTTTATCACTTACTGACTGTAGCACGTTTAGACCTGCAGCTTATCAAAAGCATAGAGAGAACTTGGATAACGCTCTTATTTTTTTCTCCCTGTCCACCTTCGTCTCTGGTCAAATGTGATGCTATCATTTTCTAATAGAGGACTCCTCAGGTGATGGTCTGTCTTTTTGGAGATAGGGAACACATGTGCTAGTTTTTCCACAGCTATATTTTTCTGCTGCTATCTTCGCTTTTGGCTGAAGCATGGCTCTCTACTCTCGGTTTGTGGTACTGCTTTACGGATGGAGTTACCTATACGTTGGATACTGCGTGATGCTGAAAACAGACGATTTCCCCGAGAGACGAAAGGTGGATTTTACGCATTCGGTGGATAAAAAGCACCCCGCGAAAGACGACCAGGATGTCCGTTTACAGGATACAATGACGGAACACATGCAGATGCTTTACGCAAAGTACAACCGGGCTGGATTCCCCTTCAAGGACGGCAACACTGTCCGGAGTTTCAAAGCGCACTGGGGTAGGTATCCAACGTTTTACGCATGTTAAAAACACTTCGTTCTGCCGGTCTAGAAAGAGCATACATGCATGCATTGTTGCATTAATTGTGGTAAATGTTAACAGGATCTGGTAACGTCTCCTGCCGTGCTCAGTTGTAATTATCCGCACATTAAAAGTGCAAAGAGCAGTCTGGCCACAGAATGTGTGCGCAATTTAGGCATATTAAAAAAAAAAAAAATGATTAGAAAAAATGTTATATTGTCCTGTTTGGGGGTTTTAAAGCAAAAAAACTAACAAAAAAAACAAACATTCACAACCTCGTAGAAACTGGTGCCATTCACGTGCTGGTTTACTGAGCTGAAACTGAAATACACCTGTTGATCCAGTCATGGAAATGTGATTAACCTGTTACCCCTTCTCTGTGCCAGGAACAGAGATTCCGCGTCAGATCTCTGCATGCAACTCAGAATCGTTTGCCTACACAATCGTTTTCACACCTTAAGATTTTATTGTCAGATAGTCTACAAAGATATTCCCTCGAGGCAGCATCTGGCCGCTGCCATTCTGCCTTTTTGTATGACGGCAGAATGGGAGAGTTTTCACTGCAGTGAGCTTCTGCATTTAAGGTGCTCTTATTAGTGTTATCTCCAGAAACCTTTATAGTAACTTTAATCTCATAAGCACTAAATTGCTTACATGCTACGCTGTGCTATCATCACTTGGACATAGCCACTATTAAAGTCGACCACTTTCCACTCTGAGCCAAAGTGTGTTAGATTACACTGCCTCCTATCGCCTGTTAGCTGTATGTCATTGCGTATAAAGACTCAGTTCACCCAACTTACAAGCACATTTTCTCAAGCTCCCAGTGATTTCTAGCCACTTCATTTTATTTGCCAGGTTTTTGAGATATGTTGAGATTTCTGTTTCCATCCCACTATAAAGAAGATATAGCAGTTGTGCATCTTAAAGCATTAAAATAGCAACATCTCCAGAAACAATGTTCTGGTTACTCTGGATGATCCACAGCTACTCTGTTGAATTTTTAAAATGTAATTTTTGAATGCTTCCATTGTATTGGGGTGGAGACAGAAAAATTAGTGGTCACATCAAAAACTATGGTATCTGCATGGCTGACAAAATGTTGGATCAGAAAAGTGTAAACATACATATTATTATTATTATTATTATTATTATTATCGTCATCATCATTTTTGTAGATTTAATTACTACAGGAAGGCCATGGTTAGCTTTTGAAAACATGCCGAACTGTGTTGCACTGTGTAAATAATATTGCTCGTTATATACACAGGTACGATAAACAAGAAGCATCTGCAGATTTTCAACCTCACGTCCCTCACCAAGTCAGAAGACGTTCTGTCAGCCACTCTTCATTATTACATTAGAGACCTTCAGAACAGCACCCAGGGCTGCTCCAGGTCCAAAAGCTGTGGCCGCCATGGTCCTCGGAGGCACAGCCACATCCACATGGTCATCTGGAGTTTTGCCTCCGTGGATAACAAGATGAGAACTCTAGGACACTTTCGGATCAATGTGTCCACCCTCTACAGGGACTTCATATCTTGGCAGTGGAAGGACATAACTCGTGTGGTCAACCAGGCCAAAAACCACGACGAGCTGCTCATTGGGATCGATGTGGCTTCACAAGGGCCCCAGTCGTGGAAGAAGCTCCTGTCGGACCGTTCACCCTACATCCTGGTCTACGCCAATGACTCTGCCATTTCAGAACCTGAAAGTGTGGTAGCCACCCTCCAGAGACACCACCCGGTGGGAGGGGAGGGGTCCATTTCACACAGCTTCCATAAACTGAGACTGCTAGAGCGAAACGACACTGAACAAGAACAGTCGGAGCCCAGACACAAGCGCTCTGTAAATGTTCTGCTCCCGTTGCAAAACAATGAACTTCCCGGGCCCGAGTATCCGTACGAGACGACCGGCTGGGATGAGACGAGCCCATACGAACCTTTTGAAAACAAGCAGGCCCGCCGGCCACGTAAAAAGACACGCAAGAATCAGCGGCACAAGATGCCCCTGCTGCAGTTCGACGAGCAGACGATCAAAAAGGCGCGAAAGAAACAGTGGAACGAGCCTAGGAACTGCGCTAGGAGATACCTGAAAGTAGACTTTGCTGACATTGGATGGAGTGAATGGATTATATCACCAAAGTCGTTTGATGCCTACTATTGCTCAGGGTCCTGCCAGTTCCCCATGCCAAAGGTGAGCCTCAGAGTCTTGTAGTGCACTTCTGCAGTGGTTCCCAACCTGAGTCAGTAACAGGAAAGCAGACATAACATTAATGCTACACAAAGTTATATTTATTTCTCCAGATATTCCACAAATATAGGCTTTTTTTTTTCGAGGGAATTACTTTATTATTTTACTCTACCTCAAAACTTTATTCAGATAAACAGGAGAAAATTTAACTTTTTAGTTGAACTGGTTATAACCCATAGACGTGACACTTGAAAGGTTTTTTTTTTCTTTACCTCAGCACCATCTTGTGGTCCAACCTTTCACTTCAACATGA